TTTTTTTGTTTTGTTTTTTTTTTCTATAAAGCCATTAAGTAGAAAAGGCTTTTTACCTCTTTGCTTCTCAGTTCACCAGTCCATTGACAACCATCGCTTGGACATTTGATGGCAAAAGAAAGAATCTTCCTTTCTGTTGCCTTGTCAGGAAAAACATCCTAAGCAACGAGTGAAAATAGCATATCATCCTGTACTCGAGCACTCAAGACTGGTAAAAGTGAGAACGGATGAATTGGAATTCTATATTGTTAAATTAGAGGGCAAATAACAAATCTTGCTTCATTCGAACTATTAAGCTAGAAAACCAGCTGGGGTAGGATACATGCTATTTTGAAACAATGAAAATATCCCAGAATCTGGCAAAGGTATGCATTACTGTTTAATCGTTTTCCATTTCTACAACCTCAGACTCATAATTTTAAGATGCTCGATGCTGTTCCCAATTTCAACTGGAAAATATTTACACGCTAACATAAAGAGATACCAAGAAATAGCAAAAGTCCATAACAGACATGCCCTCCTCCGATCCAGCGTCACAGAATTCTTCAAGTTCAACGTAAGTTGATTATTTTGTATCCTCTAATCGTGGGCACTGAACTTCTGTAAAACAAGATTAATTATTTACCCGGTCTCGGTCCAGACCCTCCCTGTCGGCGGGACAAGTTATAGGTTTTTCTTGAGCTCCTTGCCTGTTCAAAGGAGTTAATAAAAAGAAAACGAGTTAAATGCTTTCCTTTTTTAGCGCAGAAAAAGCCTGGTGAATTCAGTTAATATATAAAATCGGTCTATACTAACTCACAACCTTAGTGGAAGAACTACTGATTATTTATAGCTGTGTAGTGTTTTTAAGTAAAATAGCGACTGTTTCGTCGTGATGTTGAATTATTCACACTGGTTATTATTAGGATGCTTGCAGCAGAAAGAAACAAATACTGAATAAGTAGATTGGTATTGATTGTGTTCCTAAAACTACGTCCAAAAAATAAAGCCTATGTCCCAATCTCGTGAACACTTCTTTACAAAAATGCGTCTTTTAGGAGTATTGTTTGAGACTAGACGAGTCTTTTTAGGGAATTAAATAGATTTAATAGAAGAAAGTCAAGCTTAATTTAAACGCTTCATTCCTGATGAATTGCTGTTATGATAGCTGAGGAATCATTAGAATTCAAACAGCTTCCGCTTTCGGTTATAATTGTGTCAAGTTGTTTTAGTTAATGAAATATTTCAGTTGATATCCCATATATATCTTTCAACTGAATAGCCTGCAACGCTTCCGGTTGATAAAAATCGGCCCAGGAAACTTGAACATATCAAGCTAAATTGTAAAGGCAAACATACTTACCGCCGTACGCGCACTCAATTGCCAGTGATAAGAGTTTAAACAAGCGGTTGAGAAACGCAGGACAGAATCAAAAGCCACATCTGTGTTTCCGCCTACATTTGTCAGTCGTTATATTTACTGTATCTGGATCGTCCTTAAAATTCTGTTAACACCACTAGTCAAAACTAGGCCTAACGAAAGCCATTCAGATGTTTAAAAAGTACAATCAAATCGTAGCTGGAAGTCGCACCTTCTAAAATGTTCCTCGAGGCATTCTTTACAAAACCTGTGACCGCATCTCGTTTGAAATGGTTCCTTGAGTGGCAAATGACATATTAAACAGAGATTTTCATCTTCAACTGCATTCACAAAGTCCTCGTCATAACCTGAAGGTAACCGATTTCTGTGAACGCTAGTACCCGCCATGTTGTAAATTATCACTTGAAAGAGAAAGCTTCCTGGGGTCAAACTAAACCCTCACCTCAAGTCTCATATTTAGTGTCGCTGGGATTGTGTGACCGTCTCACACAAGCTGCTACTCTTTGAAGTACTGTAAATATGTTAGAAAACTAAAACGAGACAAATGAAACCGTCCCATCCCTTTCTCTTGACGAAGAAAGGCCAAACCTCCATACTTTGCAACCACAATTACTTACACGTACGATGTAATTTATTCAATTAGTCTCTGTTAGTATAAAACTTGTGATGATGAGCTTACAAGGTTCGCGCCACTTTTTCGTTCAATCAGAAGTAAAACCAAAACCAAGCATGACTTGCTCGTACGTTTTCCCGCGCTTCGCATTCACTATACGTTTCTTCACTCCCAGTTTTGATTGGTTTATTGGATTGTGTCCTTTGTGATTTGCCAGAGTGATTAGAGTGAGTTTCAGAGTGAGAAAATGTCGGATCCAAGCCATCTTCCCGGTTCGCTGATTGATTTCGCTGCTTGATTTGTACTCAGTGGTTTAAAAGCACTCTAAAAATATTATGGTGGAACCAAGTTCTACGATCACTCGATCATTACGAACATCCATTAAATGTAATAATACGAACAGTTTTGTTTTTCGAAACAGAAAGCCCATGTTTTCCTTTACATTGCAAGGTTGTGCTCGCTTAATACAGTCATAAGTTAATACGGATAATGAAATTTCTTTTGAAATACTGACAATTTAGTTTCCGAATGACCGGGTTTCATGATCAGTGTAATTAATAGCTGAACAAGAAAATAACTTTTAAGAGGCTGAATTATAAAAACCGTGTACTTCCACAGTTTACAAATATNCCAGTTTTGATTGGTTTATTGGATTGTGTCCTTTGTGATTTGCCAGAGTGATTAGAGTGAGTTTCAGAGTGAGAAAATGTCGGATCCAATCCATCTTCACGGTTCGCTGATTGATTTCGCTGCTTGATTTGTACTCAGTGGTTTTAAAGCACTCTAAAAATATTATGGTGGAACCAAGTTCTACGATCAATCGATCATAACGGACATTCATTAATGTAATAATACGAATAGTTTTGTTTTTCGAAACAGAAAGCCCATGTTTTCCTTTACATTGCAAGGTTGCGCTCGCTTAATACAGTCATAAGTTAATACGGATAATGAAATTTCTTTTGAGATACTGACCGTTTAGTTTCCGTATGACCGGGTTTCATGATCAGTGTAATTAATAGCTGAACAAGAAAATAACTTTTAAGAGGCTGAATTATAAAAACCGTGTACTTCCACAGTTTACAAATATATAATTCACTTCTTACTTTTTACATCCGCGTCAGAGAGATGAATATGTCAAATTTGTAAAGATAATCCGTGAAAGAATCAAATGAAGCAATGCACAGTATTTGCGAGTGCATCAATAACAGAAAGGTGATACCACTATCGGGTAGATAGTGTTATCCCCGTTTTGAACAACTGGAACCCGCAAGAACGCTTTCGGGGTGTATAGTGATAGTGAAAAGTGATTGTGTGATCCCCATGCCATGTGCAGCGATTGGGCGGAGGTGTGCTTAGCCCTAAACAATGTTTACATTGTCGCCCATAAAAGGAAAGACAAGCATCCCGTCATGATCAAAGCCTTATATAACACCTGTATATACTAGTTTACCTGAATGGTACAAAATGCTGTCGAAGGGAAGGAGGATGTAAGGCGTGTCAATGCAGAGCAGTGTTGTTCCCATACAGAACTCCTCATCGTCGGTAACAGTAACAAACTGGTTAATTTAACTTAACGGATTACAGCACTCAGCAGCAGTAGGCTTCACTACATTTTTCATTGCTCTCTTACGGAGCAAACTCACGCTCTTATACCAGTACATCCGGAATTTCCAGAAACTTCTCTAAAGAATATTGATTAACTAGCATTGTTGCAAGGTTTCTAAATGCGAATATTACCTGAGAAATAGAACATTCCTGAAGGTTTTAGGCCACGGCTGAATAACTTCCACTTCGCGATTTTAACAACAACAAGCCGTAATTTTTGCGAAGGATTGGGATGCAGTGTATTCTTCCCCCGTGTCATTTCCAAAATGTTGACTACAGTTGTCCAGATAAAAAATGTAAACAGTACCGCTACAATCTGTGATTTTTTTTATTTTTAAACTTCAACAGATCGCAAATAACACTTGATGAGAGGGAACTCTGCTTCAACTATAAAACAGATGCCTGGTTAAAAATCAAAATTTTGCTCGCTGTTGTATCAATTGACACAGTTAAACATCATCAGTAGCTTAAGCTTTTTCACGAGTGATTACAACTGGTTTACCTCTACACTTCTGGTTTTGCGAGCTTCAACACTTACGGTAACCTAACCGGATAAAATTTTGAACTGACTTGGTTCTCTATCACGGCGAGCGCCTTTGAATTACAATAACTTCTTCGTTTCTGTAACTTTCCAAATGACTCCTGTTAGTATTAGATGAGACTCCACAAGAGTGATGTGTTGGATATTCTAGACTGATGTTATTACTATTATATTTATATTTAATTTTTTTTTTCTTTTTCTGTGGTTTGGGTGGCCATTTGTAAGGGAACTTGTTCCTGTTTTTGGCTTTCCCCCTCAGCTTTATATATATATGAATATGTATGTATTTCTGTTGAGAAAAATGATTAAAGCAAAATAACCACAATTCCTTGCGCCTTTGATCTTACCGCTACCACAATTCCTTCCGTTTCGAAAAAACGTGTTCACGGTCCCTATAATGTGACCTTTTCCCGATTAGAGAGCTGCCTCGTTTGTTCGCTTTAGGCTCACTCACTGCGGCAACAATTAATGTTCCGTTACAAGCAGAAAAGATTGAAATAATTTATTTCCTTCTTTTCATTCATTCATTCATTCATTCAAAAACGTTTTTTACACTCACATATACAAGCTATGCTCTCACTTCATGTATTCGGCAATATGGAGAAGTAATGTTCACTTATTATTAGAGGTGCTCAGAATTGTTTTGCATTCATAACTGACATAAACCATGCGTCACATTGCGGAGCTACCATTTACCCAAATGCAATTTTCAATGTAAGGTTAAAACCTAAGCCTTTTATTTTAAAGAGGTGAGTTTGAATAATCCTCCCATCTCCCTGTACTGGGGTCTGGTGGAATCTAAAAATGCCTTCAAGACTTTATTTCCCGTTTTTTTTCTTTCTTTCCTCTTCTTTTTTGTTTTTGTTTTTTTTTTGGACGAGTCTTAACTTAGATTTTATGAAGATAGCGTAAGGATGAGGGATTAGTTATTTACGTAATGGTAAATAGGGAAACAGGGAGTAACGAAATTAAAGACAATAGAAACAGGTATCATTTCATCGCATTTAATCTTAGCTTAGCCAAACACTAAGTGCCAAACTACATCCAAGATCGCACATCGACTAAATACAAGTACCAATTTACAGCCTACTTCTATGATCTAGTTGGAATGTGGTCAACCGGGGCAGGAGTTATTTCATATTATGGACTGCAGGGAGAGACGTCGCTGGAACGGCTGCCTTTTTCACCTACGTAGTTTGTTAAACGATAATGACGATTTATTAATATTAATTCTTTCAAAGAGGGCGTATAATACATAGATAACTCCCCGTGTGTTGGTTTTCAATGCAATTAAGAAACATTTCTAACGATGAAAACGATTTAGGGAGATTTTCTCCGATTCCAAAAATAACCATTGAGAAAGGCTATTGATTGTCAGGGCGATATTGCTTCACTAGAAAACAATTTTGTTTATTTACATGCTATTTGTTTGTATTTTAATGAATTCTGCATTTTTATTGGATCTATGTCTTATTTATTTATTTATTTATTTTTTTTCCATTTTGATAGCTCGCCACGCATGAAATATCTTTTTGAAATCGGTGCACAAACTTGCTTAACTGATCGTAAACTGACTAAACTCAGTGTAACTGGATTCACCTAACATATCAGGGACTTTAAGATATGGTACGGCTAGGCTGTGGTACGGCGGCAAATTGTGAAGATCGCTTGATCGGAAGATCGGAATAGTCTGCTTATGGACTATGGAATAGTCTGCCCTTGAATATTAGACAATCGCTCTCCCTTAATCAATTTAAATCTAAGTTGAAGAACTATGATTTTGACAGTGGTTTTATATAAATTTTATTTTGTTTTTATACACGGCTTCCTTGTAAAGCAGGTTTTTATCATTTCTCTTATTCTAGTAGTTATTTACAATATTAAATTAGTTAGGTAGTTAGATTTATTTAAATTAAATATTGTATAGTCCTGAAGGAAATACCGTGTCTAAATAAAGATTTTACCTTTACATTACACGCGTCGCGGTACGCCCACCCCCCCTCCCCCTCCCCCTCCCCCCACGTACTCTTCACTACGTGAGTAAAAGCCTGTTTTTAACTTCGCAGTTTAACGCTTTTTATTTCACTGTTTTAACAGCCTAGTTCAAAGACAAAGTACTCAATCATAAAAATCCGTTCTAAAATAATTGTTTCTTTGTCATTTGTAGGGAAAATTTGAGCGATTTAAACATCTACCGTGAACGACAGTCATATTTGTACCGGGCCGAACAGCCGCAGAGACGGAAAACTTCGTTTATACTAACCTGATCTGTAATTGTTTAATGCTGTTCAAAATTATATAAGAATCAAAAGTTCGGTATTTTCGGGCTTGTCGCCATGACGTTGTATAAACACCATGCCCGTGCTGAAATCGAGCTTTTTATCAGTGTTATTTTATTTTGTGGTTGGAATTACAGTCGGTTCTAAAACAGCTGAGAGTCAAATCTAATTTCTGGTACAGAAAGAGGAGATTCTCGTCATTAATCTAGCCAAAGCCGTACGAAAGTAGAAAAATTAAAAGTCCCTGGTTTCCTTGAACGAAGCCATATTTTGTAAAGATTTGCTGTACAGCGAAATCTTAATTCGTTCGAGTTTTGCGGAGAAAACGGGGTTGCCAGCCTAGTCCCCCACGGCCAAAGTAGCCGTAGTAGTAGTTCGCCGTAGCGTACCTTGAAGTCCCTATTGTTTGGTTGTAAAAGTTGTTTTATATTTATTGTGTCTGGATATGTTCAAGTTTGCAGGTGCGGAAAGTTATCACGGGCTGATCTCAACCTGAATAAATAGAGTGTCATCTACAAGGTAACGCCTTGAATGAAGTTTTGCGTTAGGTATAACAAAACACCCAAACGCTTCGTTCTCTTCTTTCACAGGCCTTGCAAAGACGTTTGGGCGAGTTTTTGATAGTACACACAGGGGCGAAATGTTTTGCCGTTCAACTGGATCTTCCTGTTGATCAATCAATGAAATATTTACTTTCTTTTTGAAAGGCCAGGGTAATATACCGTCATATTCACCTTCCATTACAAAAATGAACCCCACCAGATGATCCTCAAAAGACCCCGCAAAGCCGTTAGGATGAATACGTACTTTTAACTTGTATCCATAACGTTCTGCTCTATCTGTGTAGAAAGGAACACTATCTTTACTAGGTGTTTCGTCAATTGTTGCTTGTCTCCCAATTTCACTAAAGCTGTTAATTCTCCAGATAAATATTTGTGTCTCGAGTTTCTCCACTACTTTCCGTGTTGCTTCAAGTTTCTCTTCTGTCTCATTTAACTTTACAAACGTTTCATTTAACTTACTATGTGCATTATTTAATTTTGCGTCAGTGTCATTTAACTTAACTTCTGTGTTAGTTAATTTTGCACAAGCTAAATCAAGATGGAGTCTGGTGGCTGATTGAAGATGGGAATCCACCTGAACTCGCTGAACCTGCAAGTAAAGATGAATTTTCTAAAGAACATTGCAAACATAACAGTAAGTTCCTCTCTCACGTAAGCGGTGGCGGATGCTTGGCACTTACGGACAAAGCCAAATTGGCAAATACGGACTGCGTTTCTCCATCAGTGGCAAATTTACCGATACAGTACAATCGCAAAATACAGATGTTTCAAATGCTCTCAAGGTATAACATTTCGAAGAATCTAAAAAAAATTCTACAGCAATCGTGAAATGTGTTCACTTACAGCTGTCTCGATCAGGAAATGATTTTTTAAGGAACGTATAAATCAAGGCCAACGTAAAGACATAATTTTTCCGTGATCATCAAGTTCAAAGATGATCTCAGCGTGATCGGAGGAGAAATCATAAATCCTGATGAATAAAATATAAATGATTCTCCTTGGACTGGGCTGGGATAACATGAACATTCGATCAAGCAATCGTAAGCTACCACGACCCAGAATACCTTTCGCATCTTCACGTACGCCTCTGCCCTTGCGTCCTCCAAAAGCTGATGTACTCACCTTGGTTTCACATCCCATCTTTTCATAAGGGCAAGAGATTATGGTTAGTGGACAATCATATTCAATGTGATTTCCAATCTGAAAAGAATAAAAAAAACAACAACAAACAAACAAACAAACAAACACTTGACAAACGAAGAAACGAACCAATCAACATGGGATTAAAAAATCAAACACTGCTCAAAGTCTGCTGCCAAGGGCACATTCCTCTCTCTTTGCTTGCCGCGTCCCAATCACGGCTGCAGACTTTGGACCCAGAGAAGTTTGACAGAGACTTCAACGGATACCAGAGCGACCTTTCAACTAGTAATTAAATAACTTATCGGCAAGAGGCTACAGAGTGTTAAGACATTCGTTAATTAGGCTAGTTCCTCTCAAATGCTGAAGCCTGCGTGCAGGAAGTCTGCTTGAAACTTGAGAAATGATCTCAAGACAACAAAATATAAGACTTATATCAGGCTTATGGCCTTTCATCGAGTTTTTGAGACATTTACGATATTCTCTTTAAATCGCCCCTCGGGAAACTATAGCGGATTTTGGCGGGCGTGAAAAAAAGATAAAGTTTTCGTAAATCTATGAACTCGGACGGGAAAAGAAAAAAATCATTTAAGAGCGTTGCTGTTGACGTGACACGTAACAATTAGCGTCGTAGTTCTCTCACCAAGGGAGCCGTTAAGTTTATTATTAGCTTCTTATTACACATTAAGCCGGCGCCGATTGGCTCCAAATTAAAGAAATTTTCACGTGATCTCCAGCTGACCTTTACAACAAAGGGTAAGGAATGTGCTGTTTGTTTCAGCAGACGTTCGTGGGGGAGGAAGATTGCGTGACGAGCCTAAAGAGCATCTGGGTAAGAGGCTAAATATAACTATCACCTGACCAACCACAGAATAGACTGGGACTGCTCACCGTATTACACTTAGTGCAAACCACTTTTAGAAAAGCAGGAAACTGTTTTGCCAGCTTAGAACAAACACCACAAAGAGAAAACTGAAATTCATTTTTCTACAAGGCGGCGTGATGAATCTGTTGTCGTCGTCATCATTGCTTAAGCTCCCTAGCAAAATCGCACAAGTATTCTATTGGAAATATTGCAACGACTGCACTGCCGGGTGCGGGTTATGAAATAAATAGTAGACTTCAATATTTCCTTATTCCGCATACAACTGCATACAATCCTGGCCGGCCGTATAGGAATTCCGGCACTGTCTTCATCTAGTCGCACAGGACGAAATCACATGTTTCCGTATTTCATGAACGTGGCGGAAACATGCAACTCTATGTTTCCGTTATGTTTACGTCTTGCGGAAACGTGAATATTCAAGTCTACGTGATTCCGTCAAGTTTCCGTAACGGAAATGTCAAGTCACGTTTCCGTCATATTTTAGCTGACAGATTTCCGCCATTGTTCGTTCCCGTCATGTTTCTGCAAACGGATCTGCAGTTGTTTCAGCTACATCAACCAAAACATAAACGCGAGATTGTTCTTTGAACAACAATGCATCTTAACATTTTATATTAACCAGTAGGAGACGAACTACAGCGTTCGGATTCCGTCATGTTTCTGCAAACGGATTTGCATTTGTTTCAGCTACATCTACCAAAACACAAACACGAGATTGTTCTTTGAACAACAATGAATCTTAACATATTAACCCGTAGGAGACGAACTACAGCTGCAGCGGCAGGAAGTACCTCACCTTCACACTTCGAAAAATGACAAATATAAGGTGGTATGAGGAGTCCGTATAAATAACGTATACGGAATGATAACCTGACGTGTAAGGACCCTTAATGTGTAAGGACTGTGCAATGATCAGTATGCGTTTGCTCGTGTTAACCGTCGTGTTTCCGCAACGGTTTCACATATTTCTACCACGTTTCCGTTTACGGATTCTTGATATTTCGTCCTGTGACGATCAAAACCTAGACATGTGTCAACTAAAACGCCTGACACTGCAGGCCTGAAACTTTGACAAGTAGGCTCGATTAATGCAAATACATCAACCAAAAAGGCAAAATTGAAAGTCTTACCATTTCCCTTGGAATTGAAGCCCCACAACTGTTGGAACAAGTTACTGGGAACTTGCTGCACTGTCCAATATGATCCTGCAAGAGAAAATCCACGTACAACATTTAAAGAAATCGCATGTGTAGGAGCTGTGCTTTTTTGGGGGTTGTCCTACTACTGCCCTTGTTCATTCCACTTGAATTCCAGACTACATGTATACTAAAGCTAAGAGATGCAGCGAATGAAGCCTTCAGGTTTAATAGTCTTGATGATAAATTACGTAACCACAGAACAAGTGAACATGTTCAATCATAGCAAACTGTCAAATCACAGTCGAGATGCAAAACGAACTGCTTTCTTTGGTGTGCAACGGCATAATTTATATAAAAGAAAAACGAATTTTACCAATTTCCTTCAGACAGTTAAGTGGCGGATAGCAAGAAATAACATGCTACACACCCTTTTGTTAAGTCTGACGCTGTCATGAAAATTTCAATTATCTCATCAAATTAAATCATATATTACCTGCATCTTACACTCTGGATGTGGCTCACTGCAGTGATCACATGCAAGAATTCTCCACATGCAATTGATGGTCACGTGCTCCTTGAGATGTCGCCTATGCATTGTCACGTGACAGTTTTCGTTAGTACAGTGGACAAGTTTGCAAAGACAGGATGCCAAGTGGACCTGTTGTACAAAAAAAAAGTATGCGTTTTAGCGTTTTCAGAATATTTTTAAACTAGATCACTTAGTCCAGTCAGTACCGCTAAATAAAAGACGAAAGGCTCATCTTTACAGTGTCGATCAAATCTGAAGTGAAATGTTGACCAACACCTGCAGGAAAGGGCTGAACAATGCACACAGTTGTTGTTTTTTTCTATAGAGCCATCAAGTACAAAGGCTTTTTACCTCTTTGCTTCTCAGTTCACCAGTCCAGTCACAACCTTTACTTGGACATTTGATGGCAAAAGAAAGAACCTTCCTTTCTGTTGCTTTGTCAGGGAAAACATCCTGAAAAATGAGGAGAAATAATCATAACGTACTCGAGCACTCTAGACTAGTAAAAGGGAGAACTGAATTGGAATGTTATATTAATAAATAAGAAGGCAAAGAACAAATCATGCTTTGTTCGAGCTACTGAGCTAGACGACCAGAGAGTGTGTGTGTGTGTGTGGAGAGAGGAGAGCGCTCTCACCAACT